TGTGTGTGTGTGTGTGTGTGTGTGTGTGTGTTATGTGAGAATGTGTGTGCGTGTGTGTGTGTAAGAATGTGTGTGTGTGTTACCTCCTGCTGACCAAAGGGTCATAAAAGCAGGAAGCTTACATCAAAAAGCACAAGGATGTGTCTGTAATAAAAGACTACAGCCCCCCACCCAGAACCTGGAGAATCTGGGGAGGGGGACAGTAAAATTCCTTTCATCCCACAGTTAAACAATGTAGAGATGGATGGTAAGCATAGAAATGACAACATTTAACAATTTACTCTAAGACAAATTAAGGGTTTTTTAAGTTGAATTTTTCTTATGTTTTGCTTTTTTTTGGACCCTGAAGTCTGCAAACACTGAAAGATGTTTGATGTCATCTGTTCTTTTACTACATTCCCATCATTATTTTTCATTTATGGTGTTGTAGTACTTGTTGAGCTGATGGCAAATGCTGTAGTCTGATTATTGCCCTCCACGCGATAGAATTATGGGAGGCTAGTTGGCATTAGTTATTTTTCTCAGGTCCAGTTTATTGGTGCTTCCTTTTCCTGCCTTTCTGCCTCTCTCCAGTTTTATGAAATTCTTGCTGACAGGCAGAGTTCAATGTTAAAGAGATCAGTTTTTAAAGGTACTGATTGAACTAATTTGTGTAATTTTTATTTTCTCTTTGATTATTAAAACAGTAAAAAAAAAAAATCATTCAAAATACAACCAGTCAGTGTTTCTACAGTGTCTGCCTTTTTGCTTGTCCCCCACCTAGTGTTTGATATTTGACATTATCACAGACCTCAAGTTCACACCAGGCCCTATCAAGCTTCTGATCAGCTATTTACCATTTTGCTGTCCTGCCACTGTTCAATGTTCTTCAAATGAACAGGTAACAGCTCACTGAGCAGGAACTCTGAAGACGTTCTGACTGGCAGACTGGTTCATGGTCTCTGCATTATCAAACATCTGACCAAAGTAGGAAGTTGATGATGTTTTTTTGGCTTTATCTTCTAGAAACTGCAGTACTTAAAGAAGGAATTTTTATGGGAAATCACAAAATGCTTTGAAAAGCCATCCATCCATCTTCTTCCACTTATCCAATTCTGGCGCAGGAGTCTATCCCAGGGTGAGGCAGGGTATACCCTACAGAGGTTACCAGTTTATTGCAAACACATAGAGACAGACAACCATTCATAATCACATTCACACCTACATCCAACTTACAATAATCAACTAACCTGACCCTACGCTCTCTAAACTGCATCCAAAGTACCCGGAGAGAACCCACACACACACAGGGAGACACCAGACTGGATTCGAACCCAGAACCTTCTTGCTTGTGAGGCTTACAGCCACACCACCATGCTGTTCCCTTTTTGAAAACATCAGGTTTGATATGAAGATGATAAATAGTACAAATATTCTGGAAACACGGACGCTGGGATACAGCTTGTGTATGCTTTTTTTTCCTCTGAGCTTCTAATGGAAAGTCCGGCTCTACAGCTGAGTGGCCAATTGTGTGTCACAA